AGCCAACAAGAAAATGAATGAATGAATGAATTTAGGTGGATTAAACATAAAACCCTTAAGTTGTCCCTAAAATTAGGTTAAAAAATTGCGTTGTTTCAGATAATTAGCTTGAATAAGCAGCAAAAAAATGAATAAATACTTTTTTGATTGTTGAGAACCTTTACTTCACAACATTTATTGGCTACTGTAACAAGCGAATTGAATACACTTTAAAGTAAGCTATCAGGTGTACAGGCAGGCCATTGTTGGCTGTGAGCGTCTCTGCTGATTGTTGTGTTAATGGACTCTTCTCTTTGTTCGTACTCAGCTTGCTGTCTTTTCTTCAAGTAGCCTGCAGTGTCAGTCTCATGTCAGTCGATAGTCTGCAATCACAATTCTCTCCAACAGAAATGCCGACCTTATTTCCTCTCGGTCTGCCTTTCTCTGATGACTGAATAAATCTGGATTCTGTTACACGTCCGCGACACAAGAGGCAGTGAATTTAATTGCGTCCCGGTTAATTATTTATGTCTGTTGAGGTATAGGCTAGTTTGTTAACATCCTTTCCTTAACCTTAATTAAGTAATTGACGTCATTGGAGTTTTTAAGGGATTAATAAAAGTTTCTAAACGGTCTACGTGTCTTGAAGAAGAAAACTGGATTTATAGCTGGATGAAAATCTTCGGTCCTCAGTTAAATGGTTTTGAACAAATCTTTAAGTGAATCATTCTCGTTCACTGACTCGTTCATCTGAGTCTCTTTTTTCCCAGTCTTCATCAAGTGCGCTTTCTTGAAGAATCACTTTCCTCAGTGAACGAGTCAGTGTTTAGAGTCTGAACTACAGACTTTAAAAAAGTATGAATTCAAATGAGAGACTTGTTTTGTATGGAATCCCGAAGTGGACTGAATTAGAAATCATATGTGGGCTCAGCTGCACGGTGGCTCACAGCAAGAAGCTCGCTGGTTCGAGTCTCGGCTGGGTTAGTTGGCATTTCTGTATGGAGTTGGCATGTTCTCCCCGTGTTTGCTTGGGTTTCCTCCGGGTGCTAAAGACATGTGCTATAGTCCAAAGACATTTGCTATAGGTGAATTGGGTAAGTGAATGAGTGTGTATAGCTGTTTCCCAGTGACGGTTTGCAGCTGGAGGGGCATCCCATGTGTAAAACATATTCAGAATAAGTTTCTCATGGTGACTCCAGATTAATAAAATGACTAAGCCGAAAAGAAAAATAAATAAATGAATAAATCAAATGTAAAAATGCAAATATTAATAAATAAATGTAGCTACATATAAAAGTAAACATTTTTATTCAGATCTTTATTTAAATGGCATTTTCCACATTTATTTATGCTTTGCTTTATATCTCAATTTATTTATTATTACTTTAATCTACTATCACATTTATTTATTTATTTACATATTTATTTCTTCATGTCTTTCTTTTCACGTGTAGGCTATTTATTTCTACAAGTGTTTATTTCCACATTTATTTATTTATTCATTTCTTTATCTTTAAGGGGGGGGGGGTGTTTCAGTGAGGCTAACGATTTAAATAAATAAATGAATAAATAAATGTGTAAATGAAAAAATATAAATGTACAAATCTATAAAAGCAGAAATAAATAGAGAAATAGCATAAAGAAGAAATGTAGAAAAAAATACATAAATAAGCATATTATTATTGTACTTAACTTATATTTGCTTTTTAGATATATTAATATTTAAATTTGTGTGTGTGTGTGTGCTTTTAATTGTCAGCATTGGTATTACATTTTTCTGAGCATCTTATTTGTAAATGTTGGTCCACTGCCTAAAGGGTATATTTTTTAGCACAGGAAACAAGAGAGAAAGAGGTGTAAACTGGTGTGTAAAAACATCTAAGGGCCTTTTTCCTTTTAAGTTTCTAGTTTCACAACATGTCACAGACAGCAGTTGGGGAAAGAAAACGTTAAAGACAACTTTATTTAGTCGTTTGTCTACTAAAAACAGATTAAAGGGACAGTTTGCACAAATTAAATTTCTTTTATTTTTTTTTTCTTAAAATATTTTAGCTGAAGCTTTCAAATACACATACAACCATAACCATAACATGGCTCCTCTCAATACAGTTTTTACAAATGTTTAGCTTCTGCAAGGAATTGAACATTATTACCTGTAAACAATCACCCTGAGAAATCAAATATTCACAACACTGCAATGTAAGATTCATTGCATGGGTGCAAACATACATGTAAGCTGATGCTATTTGTTTACAGCTTTAGCATTTGCAACATCTAAGCACACATGCATCCTCCCACCCACTGCATTGTAAACAAACAGCATCAGCATATTTGTGATTTTTTTTATAGAAACATTGCTCTTCAGAGTCACAAACACACTATGTTTCTTTACTTAAGCAGATAAAAAAAAGTATTACAATAGTCATTTACAAGGGTGACCTGGCCTAGAGGTGCACAACACATGACTTATAAAAAATAAATAAAATATAAATAAATATGAATATAAATTACATATAAATATAAAACTAATAGTATATTATTACAGTGCTCAGCATAATTAAGAACACCCCATTCATCTTGAAAATGAATATTTTTATCCATTTCTCAGTGAATAGGCAATCTATTTTGGTGTTTTAAAAAACAGATTTATTAAACAGATATTCATTCATACATTCATTGTCTTTTCGGCTTAGTCCCTTTATTAATCTGGGGTCGCCACAGCGGAATGAACCGCCAACTTATCCAGCACATGTTTTATGCCGCGGATGCCCTTCCTGCCTCAACCCATTCATGATAGATTTGTGAGGGGTGAACTTGTATAGTAATCACCTTATATTACATTGTTTATTACCATTGTCACTAAATCATTAAGGGTGCACAGTTTCAGCTAAAATAGTTTAATGATAGACATAAGAAATAAGCAATATCTTGGAAGGCTAAGCTAATTTGCATTTGCATGTTAATTTTAAAAGAGACACTGGTGGATTGAAAAATTTTTTAATAAAATTACGCAAACATGTCCACATGTATAAACAAGGGTTAACGGAATAATAAAATAAAAAAAAACATTAATTTGAAGAGCACCATCCCTTTATGCATCACATTAAACTTTAGAACTCACAAAATAAATACTGCTACATTCAGGCACACCCATGTGAGCCAATAGTATCTGTATGCAGCCTTGATGATGCAAGCTGAGACTGCAAATATTTTGTACTGTCTGGAGCCAGCACCTAAACTTTTCACTCATTATAGCACATGTGCTGCTGATGATGTGACAATAAAAGTGATTTGATTTGATTTGAAAATATGTCAGTCAATAAATCTTTCCTGGATTCATGGTATTCCCTCAGAACTGAAGAAATTATTAGAAAATGATATAGTTCAAAATACAAATTCAGATTTTAGTCTGAAATTGGAAGGTATGAATATAAAAGAAAGATGTAATAATTATCTTTGAATGATTTGCCAGATGGTCAGTGTTTCTTCAGCCATTAATTTTCGGAGATCACAATTTCAAGATGTCAACTGGAACAAGACTTTTAAGATTCTTAAAAGTTTCTTTGGTACTTTTTAGTTTTTTTTTTTTTTGCACTGTACAGTATATACCTCCACTGTGGATGGAGTTTTTGGCACTGTAAATAAACACCACCTTGCATGACAGTGCTTTGAGAGAAAGCCATCAATTTTGATCCTTACGAACTCACATTTCTCCCGCTGAAGACGAGCTGGTGGGCTTATTTTCATTACATTTGCAGTCGTTTTTGTATAACAGAATTAGAGAGGCATCATTTAAAATTGTTCATCGTATTCATCCTGTAAAACAGGTAAACTCTACATTTTGTAAAGATGTTGATTTAAAATGTGCTTTCTATTGTTCATTTATTTTATGATTGTATTTATACACAATTACTTTGGTGTGATCTTTTATTTTTTGTTAACCAGAGTAAGAATATTGCTGTGGAATTCAAAGAAAAAGATGAGAATAAAAATGACTTCAAAATTTGATAAATTGTTGTTTTGCTCGTTATTTATGGATTTTTTATCATTAATGTAAATAGGCAGTGAAAAAAAAAAATTTACCCACTTTAAAATAGAAATAGGTCATAACCTATGTACGATGAAAGAAACAAAAAATATCAAAGCAAAAAGAACTTAATTATCTTAAAGCTTTAAATCTTCTCTTTGAATAATTTTATTTTTTCCTTTTTGTATTATATTTATTTTTATGTCAATTTAATGTTATTGCTCTTGTATGTTCTGTGTTGTAAAATAGAAATAATAATGATGATAATAATAATAATAATAATAATAATAATAATAATAATTATTATTATTATTATTATTATTATTATTATTATTATTACCATAAATAATAATAATAAAGCAGTATGGTGGCACACTGGGTAGCACAATCGCCTCACAGCAAGAAGGTCGCTGGTTCGAGCCCCAGCTGGGTGAGTTAGTGTTTCTGTGGGGTTTGCATGCTCTCCCGTGTTCGTGTGGGTTTCCTTTGGGTGATCCAGTTTACCCTACAAGTCCAAAGACATGCCGTACAGGTGAATTGAATAAGTTGAATTGGCCGTAGTGTATGTGTTCGGGTGTGAGAGTGTTTCCAAGTATTAGGTTGCGGATGGAAGTGCATCCGCTGCATAAAACATGTGCTGCATAAGTTGGCGGTTCATTCTGCTGTGACGACCCCTGATTAATAAAGGGACTAAGCCGAAAAAAATGAATGAATGAATGAATGAATGCATAAATGAACGAACGAATAATTATAAAGAGACTTTCTTAGTGAACGTAAATACATCCAAAAGATTCGAGTCCCTGAAAGGAGATTCGAATCCTCAGATGGAGATCTCCGGCTTTAGGACCCAGATGACTCTCAATCATTTGAACGAATGGCACCTGTTGCGTTCAAAGGGAAGCCGGGAGGCCAGCGCTGCTGCTCGCGTGAAACCGTCGCGCACTTATTAAACTCAAAACATCTAAAACTCGAAGATACAGAGTAACAACATCATCCGTCATTGCGTCCATCTGTCCATCTACTCACAGCTTAAGAAAACGGCGCCGCGCAAGGCGAGGAAACGCCGATCTATCAGTACTATCTGTCTCTGGGAGGAGAAGCACATGATTGACTAATCTTCTTACAGGTAAAGTTCGAAGAATTACTTAAATGAGGGCTTCATTTGTTTTCAAGTGTTTCGCATCACATCTGTTGTCAGAGAGATAACATCGACTTATCTTCCTCTCCTCATTGACATGAGTGGGCTTCATCCTCATTGTTAGTAGTGTAAATTACTTCTCTATAACACTCACACACACCAACTACTTTGTTGTAATTTTACTTTTAAAAAGGCTATTGAACATTATTACAACTCCTTTGATTCTGTAAATACTTTAAGCACTATCTGTGCCAGACTCACTTCCTTGTATGTATTTAGAGAAGTTTCGTTTAGTGGTCATGCTGCGTGGCGATATTTATTAAAACTTCAAGGAAGTGGTTGGCGTTCGTTCTGTTTACAAAATGGTTAAAGCAGTGAATTGAGGTTAAGTTTGTTTTATTCACAAATTCGGAGTTTCTCCTTAGTACCGTGGTAAACAATATAGGGAACATGTCACAAGTTGTCAAAAAAACGAATGTGTGTTCATAAAACTACTTTGCCTCAATAAGCAATGATACTTAAAGGGATAGTTCACCTAAAACCTAAATTTGTCATCAGTTACTCATCCTTTACTTGGAAAAAAATGTTCAAGCAATGTTTCTTAAAGGTATTGTTCACCTGAAACTTAGGATTTGTTGAATAAAGTTGACCATTGATTTCCATTTGTCTTCCTACTATAGATGTCAATCATTACCTGTTATTAGCTTTCTTCAAGGTATCGTCTTTTGTGTTCAACAGGAGAAATAAACTCAAAGGTTTGGAGCCACATAAAGGAAAGTAAATTTTCATTTTAGGGTGAAGTATCACTTTTACATGTGCTTATAACAATAATGACTATTTTACGTTCTTGCCATTCAGTTCACACACAAAGCAGGGAAACCAGTTTTACTCGGTAATTAGGAAACTCTGAACACCTACACAAGAGAACAGCAGAAGTTGGCCTGACTGTCTCTGTTGGCTACTTGTGTCTTGGGATTTGTGATGTAGATGAGTTTAAATAGACTGGTGTCATGAGCGCTGAGGTTACTGATTCATTTAAAGCCATAGGTTCCATATTCATCACATTTCCTACTTTAAATATTAATGTTTAAATGTAATGATTAATAGTGGTTTTACTGTGGCACTTCTTAAGGTGACCCTTTAAACTTCTTTCCAAGTAAGGCAAAGGTTTGTCTTTTTTTTATTATGTGCAGTTAGACAGGTGACGTGTCACAATTGTGAAGTGTGTTTATGCAAAGATTCCAATGCCACCCATTAGAGGTGTGTGTGAGTGAGTGTGTGTAGTGAAGCACCTGCTGCCACGTCAATCCAGCAGGGCGAAGGAAGGGAAGGATCAGGTGCAGAAGGGTGTTTGTTGTCAGGTGAGGTTTGTTTGCGCTGTTGCTGTGATCCATGTGAGTCCACAGTGCAGGCTTTCGCTGCTAATTACACGTGGGGCTTGGCTTGATTTCGTGTGGAACGGGACTATATAAACTCTAAAATTGTCGTCACGAAACCATTTTTACAATATATAAAAAAACAGCCAGATAAAGCTGCTTACATCTGAGAATGACACAATGTTAAATGCCAATGTCTGTCCCATACTGAGCTTTTATTAATGTCGCTTACTGTTTATTTTATTAAAACCCTAATAAAAGACCTCTGACATCTAGCTTTGTGCATGCTTTTGAGGCACCAATATGCACTAGGCACATTAGGACAGCTTGGGCCATAGATTTAAATGAAGAATTAGCAGATGAGTTCTGGGAAGAAGCCCTGTCGAAAGTAAAGAAAGGTTAGATAAATTCAAATATATATATAGTAACTGAGACAATACAATGGTGGGGGGGGGGGGGGGGGGGGGGGGCAAAATTATGTACTATTTTAATGTACTGTTTGTTTTTTTCTATCTTATAAATGTTAAATAAAACAAAATGTTTACTTTATTTAACATCTTAAACAGCTTATTTTGGTCAAATGTTAAAATGATTAAATATAAAATTTAAAGATTTTATAAAAATTGTTATTATTGGTATTTTTTGTTGTGTATTTTGTGCTTTTTCACTTTTTGTTTGTAGTAATATTTCCTTATTGTTCATTTAAATAATATTGTTATCATTGTTTTAGTCTTGAGTTTTGATTAAGTATTAAAATGATTTATTTGAAAAGAAATGTATTTTCCATTAAAAGGGATGGCTTCAAATAAACATGATTATTTCCTCACCCTCAAGCTGTTCTGAACCTAATTGCATTTCACCTTGTTTTGTTGGACATAAAAGTAGATTGTTTGAGGAATGTGGGTAACCCACATTCAAAATAACACATGGCAGTTTCAGGCTACTACAAGGTTTTAACAGTTATGATAGTCATGGTGTTAGATTATGCTATTTTGAATACTAAATTCTTGTCGCGTAGAGAACAAGTGAGATGTGTTATACTGCATATTGCTTCTCGAACAGTCATTGCTGGTCTTCAGAATGTGTGTGGAAGCAAGTGTAGGAGTATCATTGCCATATCTCTACAAATCTTCCTTCCACCGTAGAACCCCTAGATTAGTTTTTATATAATAAATTTGCACAGATCTCCTGCTATATTTATAACATAATTTAATTTTTTTTTTTGGTAAGTCATTCTAAAAAGCATGGTGACCAGTGTTATAGGGGTATGTACATCACAGTTATATATTTATTTAAAAGAGACATTGATACAGTTTGTCGATGGAGAGTTAGAATTATGTTCAGTAGGGCTGGGCGATTAACCAAAAACTACACTGCACGACCCAAAAAGTTAACTCAAACCATTTGAGGAAACCGGTTGCAACAAACCATTTAAGTTCAAAAACTAATCCTAATGAGTACTGTGAACTTAATCCATTTGAGTAAATGAAGCAATTTGAGCACAGTGAAACCAAATAAAGGGAGAGAACTCGAACTAATTGAGTACTGCAAAACCAGTAAGTTAAGGCAACTCAAACCATTTGAGGAAATTGCTACAAACCATTTTTTAAAATCAATATGAGTACTGTGACCTTACTCCATTAAAGTTGAAGTAATAAGGTTATTAATTAACTCATTATCTTCAACACTGATTTCAAAACTCTTTTCAAATGAGTAGAATTTACTTGCAGTCAATTTTGAGTTAACTACACTATTTTTTTTTATAAAGTTGACTGTTTGGTTTTACAGTGTAATTGAAATTGACATTTAGAACCTATAATCGATCTAATTTTTCCAGGTCAAATTTTTTCAATTACTTTTTCGTATGTGGAGTCACATGTCCCCAGTCTGTTTAGGCTGATTTATACTTTTTAAATTATTCTGATATTATACTTCAGCCAAGCATATAGTTTTCTGCAGCCTTCGCAGTTCGGAGAGCCATGCTTTAGGCAATGTGTTTTAATTTTAGTTTTTCAGCGTTGATGTTTAATAAATAATCATAGATCATAGTGTGTTTACGTTAGTGTGTTAATTACATTAAAAAATAGCGTATTTAAAAATCATATTTGTACAAAACTTATCAGTGAACTATGAGGGCAAAAACCTAAAATAAGTAAATAAAATAATCATTCATTTATTGTCATCCAGTTAAAATGTTCAATTAATCGAGATATTGATTTTAGGCCAAATCGCCCAGCTCTAATGTTCAGAACATTAATTCAAACAGGTTTGTAATAACTTGACGACAATTATCATTTTCAGCTGATTCATCTCTTTATTGGCAAATGCATGTTCTTTATATGTGATTATTTATATATTTTTGGTCTGTTTTCACAGGCGGTTGACTGAGATCGACTGGCAGAATGCGTTTAAGGCGTCGTCTTTCGCCCCTGAAGCTTGCCATTGTCGGTGGGACACTTTTTATGCTCATTCTAGTGGTGCTCCAGAGAGACGTTAACAGCGGTGCTCTTCAGGACCCCTGGCTGCAAGATCTCTCCAACAAAAAGGAGAGGGTGTTCGAGATGGTCCGCGGGGCTGTCAATAACTTTGCCTTCCAAATAGGAGCCCCTGTGCGTCCATCAGTGGAAGTACAACCCACCCCGGACCGAAACTGCCCATCTGGCTTCTACACTCAGCGGGAGCTTAAACCATGGATCGAGAGGCCTCCTGAAAACCCTCAAGCCCCAGGAGCCGATGGTGTACCTTTCCAGTATGACCGGATGACCAAAGAGGAGGAGAAGGAGAAGCAGGAGGGCATGACCAGACACTGCTTTAACCAATTCGCCAGTGACCGAATCTCCTTGCACCGCACTCTTGGAGATGACACCCGTCCGCCTGAGTAAGAATAGGCACATTGTGTGCAGAAAATGTGCAGCACAATTCATTCAATTCACAATCCAATCTGGCGTAATAATGATTCCCTTCATAGATTAAAGCACTCATGACGTATGCTGTAATGTTTGCTGGGATTTTATGTGCCCTTTAATTAAAGTTGATCTGTTTACACAGCAACTTGAAGGTGCAGACTATTGTTGATTTAAGGGCTGGGGCTAAAGCTATATAAATGCTGCCCAAACACTCATTGTAGATTAGTGTCTTAACTGTTCTGCTGCATGTGCAGTTTACAAATCACGCCTTCACTTGTTGCATCACTCTTAAAAATGGGTTGGCACAAGGAATCTTATAAATCTTATCATATTTAAACACTGTTGTGTATTAACGAGACTTGAATCATTAGCATAAGTCAGCATATTGATAGTACTGGTTATTACAGTACGTGGTTTAAACTTATAATTAGGTTAATTATTTGGAACCTTCCATATTTTGAGGTGTGTTATGGTCATTGTAGTATCACAGAGATGCTTTTGTAGTTTTATTTTATTTGTTTGTTTTTAAAAGTTAATTTATTTATCCTTTCTTTTTAAAAAAAAAATCTTCTTCTTCTTCTTCTTATTATTATTATACCCTTTATTTTACTAGGAAAAGCACATTGAGATTAAAAATCTCTTTTACAAGAGTGTCCTGGCCAAGATTAGGCTGCATACAGTTCACATGAGTTTAACAAACAAACAAATAACATGTAACATCATTCATCCATCAAAACACGTACAATGACAGTTAAAAACTATTTAGAACATCTACAGGCAAATGTTTTAAACCCCAAATCATTTAAAATCTTTTTAAAAGCTTGTAATGAAACCAACTCTTAACTGCAACTTTGTTTGGAGGTTATTCTATGGAAAAGTTGCTGCTTATTTAAAAGCCTTTTTTTTTATGACAGTACGCACCACTGGTACAGGCAATAAATATACTTTCTGATACCGAAGGCTATAGCTTGAGAGTTTATTTATTTATTTATTATTATTTTTAATTATTTAATTATTGTTATTTTTTTATTTAATTTATTATAATTTTTAATAAATGTAAGTTTGGAGATATGAGGGGAGACCATCCTACCCGAGTGTACAACACACAATGATGAGTGAGGGATTTAAGATTTGTGAGGGATTTAAGACACCATGGAAAACAGTGTCTAAAGAAAGGGTGCCCAAACTTTTTCTCATAAAGTCCCAAAAACTAAACTTGGTTGAGCATTTGTTTGCTATTATCTAAAATAACTAGAAAAGATTCCTTGAAAAGATCCTGGCCCAACTTTGGCCTGCTGGCCCTACTTTGGGCACCTCTGGTCTAAAGCATGCAAACCTTAAAAACAAAAAAAAAATGCATGTATATAAATAATATCGTCATATTCTAATACAGACATAAAAGTGGCAGAAACAAGCTTATTTTTGTTTTTGATATTTTAGTGCAGTTGAGTTCCATTTACAGTAGTCAACATTTAAAGTGGTTTAAAACCTTTTAATCAAAGTAGTTCTTAAACAATTGAACAACACCCATTCTTGCCTTAGGACAATTTTGATTAGTTTACGTTTTGCTCCACTTCATGTGTAAATCACAGTTGGACATTTTTCCTTAATATCCTGAAATAATGTAATTAAACTTCATAAAATCATTTAAGGTTAATTGTTTAACTATAGTAACCCTGGTGTGTGTGTGTATATAATTTCACGTTACAATAAGATGATTTAAACCAGAACCACACCACTAAATTCTAAGTAAAAAAAAAAAATGTGAAAATGTTTTTTTTTTTTCAGGTAGTTTCAAAACATTTGCCATTATTTTGTTTTAAGTTTTAGATTAAACTTTTTTTTTTTTTAATTGGAAGTAAAAGATTATTGAAAACAAAAATAGTCTTGTAATAAAACAATATATCAATATGTAAAGAAATGTATAAATAATAAAAATTACAAAGGGACACAGACATTTACAATTATAATACATTTAAATTACAGTAATTACACCACTGGTCAAAAGTTTGGGCTCATTTTAATGTTTTAAAATAAGCTTATAATGATCACTAAGGTGGCATTCATTTTATCAAAAATACAGTCCAAATTGTAAAATTGTGAAATGTTGTTGCACTAAAATAATTGTTCAAAAGAAGTTTTATTATTTAATAATTTATTTTAGGGATTTTGAGGATGAATTTTCCAGTCTTCAGTCACATGATTCTTAAGAAATCACTCTAATATTATATTAATTATTATTGTTGTTATTCCTATTCTTAATATTATTTTTATTATTTATGGTAATAAAAGCAATAATGACTTGAGTAATTTCATTTGAAACAACACACAATAAGTAATAAATAAACATTTAATAAATAAGTATTTAACAATTTAACTTTTTTTTCTTAAAGAAAAATAAACCTGTTTAAAAAAAAAAATAGACTGACCGCAAAGTGCTGACTGGTAGTGTAGTTATTAAAAAAAAATAAAGAATACATATGAAAATGTGTTTCAAAAGTAATAACCATAGTAATTTTAATTGTATTACTTACAATTATGCATTTTACAACTGTACCCTTTTAACAAATATTTTTTGTACCCTGTTTTTTTTTTGTTTTGTTTTTTTGCATCTGATACTTAAAGGTGTGTCGATCGCAAGTTTCGCCGATGTCCTGCTCTTCCCACCACCAGCGTGATCATCGTGTTTCACAATGAAGCATGGTCAACACTACTGCGCACTGTGTACAGCGTTCTGCACACCTCCCCAGCGGCCTTTCTCAAAGAAATCATAATGGTGGATGACGCCAGCACTGCAGGTGAGCCAGGCTTTATCTGCTCCTGTTGTAAAAAATAAACCACACCTTGAAGAAGTGTTAATCAATGCTCTTTGGTCAATAGCAAACAGCTTTATCTAGTGGAATCTTCTGGAATGTCACATCTGTGTTTCTTCAGGCAGATGAAAGTAATACAATTCATTGGAATTTAAAAACATCAATCTGCTTTTGAGAGATTTTATTTATTTATCTGGTTAAAAGTAGCAGTAGTTCTGATCACCTTAAATTGATTTGTAGTATAACTGACTAGACAAGTCTTTTTTTATAGTATACTACCTTTTGCTTGAGTATTTGGCATTAGTGCTACAGTATAAGATCAAGGAAGTGTGTCAGTTCGCTTCAAGTCTCACCACAGGAAGTACTTTGTTTCATCAGGGCGCCTCGCTCTGCTTAAGGTCTATTTTTATACTTCGAGAAATGTCACTTTGAACAGTTGACTATTAAAGTTAGAGCTATTGTGTGAATTTGTATGCACTGCTACTTATGTCCCTTGTGCCCATCAAGGCTGCATTCGTTAGATCAAAAATACAGTAAAACTGCACAGACAATTTAGTATAGCATTTAACAGTATTTAATGAGTATTTTAAAATGTTGTTTGTTGTTTATGGCAAAGCAGATTTTTCAGTATCATTACTCAAGTGTCGCATGATCCTTCAGAAATCATTCAGTATGCTGCTTGATATTTGTGTAAAGAGAAAGTTGATCTTCAAAATAAAGATTCAATAATTTTAACATCTGGCGTGAGTATAAATGGTTTTCTTCTGCTTTTGGTCAATTTGACGCATGCTTTCTGAATCATTTTAGTCATTTATTTAAAAAAACATTTGTACTATTGTCCAGTTATTATTTAATTTATTATTTCATTTTATTATTTTTCTTTTATTTTCATTTATCATTTTTATTTTATTTTTTTTCTTTTATTTTTCTCTTTTCTTTTACTTTGGATAACCTTTTAAAGATGTGTAATTTATAGACCCAGAAAAAATTAATTGAAAGTACAATACATTTAAATTCCAGCTGTGTATTATTTTATTTTTATTCCGGATAAACTTCTTTTTTTTCTTTGTTCATATATATTTTGAACGTTTTAGTGCAAAAACATGCATGTCGCAAATTTACATTAGTAATAAGTACTAAGATAATATCCATCATTCATGTAAAATGGATCCTTACCTTCACATAAATAAATATTAAAAAAAGTATTAAAATGAATATAATTTATGGACAACAAAAAAATTTAATCAAATAAATTTTTAAAGAATTTTTTTTGTCCTTTTATTCTTTGTTAAAGTTAATTTTATCAATAGTTTTTATTGCATTGATATGCATGTTTAATAAATATTTAATATGTATTTGCTATGTAATAAGCAGTGAAGCAGGTATAACCGTAAACGCCTAATGGCACTCTTCACACACAGCCCTTAAAAACTTGAAAACAAGGAAGACACCCTATTTGACACAGTTTTTTTTTTTTTTTGTTTTGTTTTTTTAGAACACCTTCATGGAAAGCTGGAGGAGTATGTGAAAGCACTGAAGATCGTGAAGGTGGTGCGTCAGCCCGAGAGGAAAGGCCTGATCACAGCGAGGCTTCTTGGAGCAAGTAAAGCTGAAGGAGAAATTCTCACGTTCCTGGACGCTCACTGTACGCATTTCATCACATTCCAACTTCTGTTTGCATGTCATTAACAGCCACCAATCTCTTTTTTTATTACACAACTGGGTGGGAAGTCGTTTTTCAGGAACTTGCTCTTCAGGTGCAAAGGCATGAGCTCAAACTGCTACTCCCACAATACTTATTTTCATTTTCTGGCATTCACGTCATTTGAAAAGTCATGCATGGTGACAAAAGGATAGTATGTGATGCTTATCTTTTTTGCTTTGAGCTATTCTAAGGCTAGCAGCTCATGTTACACCTGACGTGTTTCCCATCATGACGTTAATGTTTCCCATCAACATATTTTTGACATATTATTTACATATCTTATACGCATATTCGTGACATTTTAAGGGGCACTTCACTCAAAAATTTACATTTATTCACTATTTACTCACCCTCTAGGGGTTCCAAAATGTTTAATAAGTTTATTTTGTTGGGAAAAAAAAGCTGTAACCATCGACATTCATAGTAGAAAAAATTGAAAGTACATTTCAAAGTTCATTTGTAAAGTTATTTTATTTTAATACTTTTTAATTTTTTTATTTTAATTGTATTATTTTATTTACTTTTTATATTTTTTTTATTTTCTTTAGTTTTTTAATATAATTTTTATATAAATTTTATATCAATTTTATTTTTATTTTATTTTATTTAGTTTCAAGATGTATAATTTAAGATGATTTAAGATGTATAGTTTTTAGACCCCCCAAAAAAATTCATTGAAAGTACATTTTAAAATCCAGTTGTTAATTATTTTATTTTATTTCTTTCATTTTCCATATAAACTTTTTTTTAAAGCAGCTCATGTTTCACCTGACGTGTAATGCTTCCCATCAACATATTTTTAACATATTATTTACATACCTTATAAGCATATTTGTGACATTTTAAGGGGCATTTCACTCAAACATTTACATTTATTCACTATTTACTCGCCCTCAAGTGGTTCCAAAATGTTTAACAAGTTTATTTTGTTGGGGAAAAAAAAGCTGTAACCATCGACTTTCATAGTAGAAAAAACAAATACTCGGCATTCTTCAAAATATCTTCTTTTGTGTTCAACAAAAATAAAACTCCAAAAGGTTTGAAACATGGAAAGGGTGAGAAAATGATGGCAGATTTGAAATGTTTGGGTGAACTTTGTCTCTAAGCAGTTTCTTTCTTTTTGTTAAAGGTGAGTGTTTCCATGGCTGGCTCGAGCCTCTTCTTGCTCGAATTGTTGAAGAGCCCACGGCCGTTGTGAGCCCTGAGATCACAACCATCGATTTAAACACTTTCCAGTTCCACAAACCTGTGGCAACGGCTCGTGCACATAACAGGGGCAACTTTGACTGGAGTCTTACTTTTGGCTGGGAGGGAATTCCAGATTATGAGAACGCTAAACGCAAGGATGAGACCTACCCTGTAAAGTGAGTTCTGCACCTTTTTATTAGCAAAAATAGCTGCAGACGTGTGTATTCAATATGTTGGGATTGCTGTGTCAATATTGAACCTTCCATAGAAATGTATATTTGCTCTGTGAATAATAGAAGAGTTTTTAGTACTGTGTGTGTGTAGCCTCACTTAAATACAGTTAGTTATTACTACCAAATATATTCTGATGGGGTGGTCAAAAAAGTGATCACTCTGGATGGTGTTATATCTGGGTCATTTTCTAGGTGTTTCAATGTGTTATTTATTCATAAATGTTTTGATGATTAAATCTAAATTGACCAATCACAAGAAAGTTACAAGTACTTTAAAGGACTGCTGACTTGATGTTTGACTAAACATATTTTTAGGAATAATATCGAAAATGATTTTTCATATTCCAAAGCAATTTATATAATGATGTTTGTGTTAAATGTGAAATGGTATATGTATTTGGTATTCACATGTACAGTTTCAGTTTCACGTTCGCCTTTAAAAAATACATTTGTTTAGGATTGACATTCATGACAAACATACAAGCATCGTTTATAAATGGATGACGCCATACTTTTCTTATCTTATATATTTTTTTGCAGTAAAAATAGAATAAAATTGGAGTAAAATAGAATGTTTGTCAATGTTATGGTTTATTTAGGGCTGCCGGTAGACTGTTTTACGTTATGGTCAAAAACAATGATTAGGGTTGGTTATCGATTTATTCAGATTTTTCAATATCATACACAAATCTTTTTCTTTTTTCTTTAAATTATTAATTCAGATAAATTTGTTAAGATTTAAATAATGTTAAATTATGAAATTTATATTTAACAGAAAACACTCTAAAACTCAGACCCGTACACAAGCACACACATCTGATTAAGATACATACAATGAGTAGCAATTAGGGCTGCACGATATATTGTTTCTGCATTGATATCGCAGTGTGATCGCAATGTGTAAATTGCAGGGTTGAGTGAGTCTATATGTTATTATTATATATTATGTTTTCATTTTCATGTATTGTCACTCGTGAGTATTTGAGGTCTGTGACTGTATAATGATTTTAAAATCATTTACGATTAAGATATTGTATTGTTTGTAACTTTTTAATATTGAATTATTTTTATTGTTCAATTACTATACCTGAATTCTGTTAGATTCGGAAAACATTGTTTATTTCATTCATTTTCCTTCGGCTCAGTCCCTTATTATCAGGGGTTGCGCAACTCTCATATCCCTCTAATGTCTTTGTACTGTGGGGAAACCGAAGCACCCGGAGAAAACCCACACGAGCACGGGGAGAACATGCAAACTCCATACAGAAATGCCAACTGGCCCGGCTGGGACTCGAGCCAGCGACCATCTTGCTGTGAGGCTACAGTGCTAACCATTGGGCCACCGTGCCGCCCTTGTTTATTTCAATTGTATCTTTTTTTTTTTTAAATGTATTGATCTATGTTTGTAGACTGTTAGTTATATGTTATGCACTTCTCTATAGATTCATCTCAGTCAATCTGAAGTTATTCATTCTTTCCAAATAGAGATGTTTAAGTCATCTGCTGACATGGTTTTCTTATCGCCATATATATCGCTGAATAACAAAATATCAGGCATCACTAGTAGTAAGAGTGAAGAACAGGGATCACCAAACTGTCCCGCAGATTTTAGCCTCAACCCTAATCAAACATGAACAACCTAATCAAGGTCAACCTAATCTGAACAACCTAATCAAGGTCTTACTAGGTATACTTGAAGCACCCAGGCAGGTGTGCTGAGGCAAGTTGGAGCTAAACCCTGCAGGGCACCGGACCTCCAGGAACGAGATTGGTGACCCCTGGTGTAGAATAATGGAGAAGAATTCATTCACAACTGTTGAAAATTAATGTAGTATTGGCCACACTTTCAGAAATGCCCCATTTTTATTTAAATTTGTTTTGGTTTGTATTTTTGTTTTCTCCAATGTTGTTTTAAAAGTATCTTTTTAATAATTTTTTAAAAACTAAATTTCAAACAAAGTTTGTTTTTAAACGTTTTTCACATCACTACCAAAACAGTGTATTTCTGTGAAAAATATTCCCCTCAAGAATCTGATAATATAATGTAAGGATTAACTGCACAATTACTAGAACTGTGAAATGAAACATTCATTTTCAAAATGAAAACTCTGTATTTGAACCCATTCTGTATAGTGGCCCATATATTACGAATTATATTATTATCACTCTAAAATTTTTGAATTGTTTGAATACTTCTATAGATACATCCTCATTTTTGAATGCAGGTTCCACGTGTGACACGGCATCATGTGGTGCGTTATGTGCAATGATTCATTTGTTCTTTTATCCAGATAGTCAGATCTTGTTCATCTGGTCAGTCTGACTTTTTCATGAATAAGCATGCCCGGCATTTGAGTGTCTGTTGAGTTCAAATATTGAACTTCCAGTCAGTTTACTATAACCATATCATATAAAAGTAATTAGAATGATTACACCAATTATTAATTTGTTGTTGTAGTTATTATTGTTATTATTATAACTGCTACCACTTCTACTACGATTACATTTTTATATAAGATTTTGGTAAAATTTGTGTTGAAACAGCAAAACATTTTTAGTGTGTAGGTTTCATGTATGATCTATAGACCATTTTAAGGGTTGTAAACAATAACAATGGTCCTATTCTATTTCCAGTTTTACATCTTTAATTTCCATAGCTTCCGAGAATCCAAAAAGGTCCACATATTGATAAATAATGTTATGATAGCTGTTTTATGTTAAGATATGATTGAATTGGCTCTTTTTACGGTTGTGAAATAGTTTGACAACAAGCAGGAAGTGTTCACGGGCCCTTGGCATCATCACATTGAAATGGTTTATACGGTCATTTGGTTATTCATAACCTTTGTGTCGATTCTCTGGTTGTCTTGAAGTGCAGTGAAACTGCCTATTGTGATGTGTGATTTCTCATGCTTCTCATCTTGTCAATACATTTCTTGGATTCACACCAGTTTAACTAGCTGGTGAAATGGGAAGTAAATTGTGATAAGTTCAGAATATACGATACAAAAGGGTTAGTTCTGTTGAATGCTTTTTGTTTTACATTTTATATTTGTGCATAGTTAATTTGCATGTCAATATCCTTTTAGAATCTGCCATTATTATACATAAGTTGACCTCATAATGTGCTGTATTATCTGTTGAAAATACATGAAATGTTTGTAATACATAACACTTTGGTAATAACCTATATAACAGCTATTAAATTCACAAAAAAATTATATTCAAGCTCAGACATTTTAATAATTTGCAAAGCAACAGTGCCTTTTTTTATTTGCCTTAATAATTCAGCTTTTTAATCAGTCAAAGTCGCAGAAAAGTCAGGGAATTCGGCATTGGTTAAGAGTAAGAACCATGTGTTCTGTTTGGAAAGCAAATACTGTATATACATTTTCTACATTTTCTTTTTTAAATGTTGTTAGTTTAAACAAAAAATAATGAAGTGTGACTGATTAATTATTGGCACTTGGATAACTTGAACTATTTTTTTCTTTTCAGAACTCCAACATTTGCTGGTGGCTTGTTCTCTATATCTAAGGCCTACTTTGAGAAAATTGGGACGTATGATGACAAAATGGAGATCTGGGGTGGTGAAAATGTCGAGATGTCTTTCAGGGTGAGTAGTAGCTCTTCAGAATTGTCCTGTGGCTATATTTTGGCCTCTTTTTCTTTTTTTTGGTTTAATGTTAATGTATGCATGTATGTTTGTATATTTAAATGGCATAGTTCTGTGAATTTCTTTCTATATATTTAAATGGCGTAATTATGAGATTTTTTAAAAAACGTTTTTTTAAATATTTTTTTTTAATTTAATTTGGCATAATCGTGTGCTTTTATTAAGTATATATTTAAATGGCATAATAATTGAAATTCTGTTAAATTCCGTTTTTACATATTGCGTTATATTTAGAAGTCATAAAGCCTCACATACAGTATTAATGTGATGTTGAATTGTGTGTGCATCAGGTATGGCAGTGTGGTGGACAGTTGGAAATAATCCCCTGCTCTGTCGTTGGTCATGTGTTTCGCACCAAGAGTCCTCACACCTTCCCCAAAGGTACAGAGGTCATTACACGTAACCAGGTGCGCTTGGCGGAGGTGTGGATGGACGACTACAAGCTGATTTTCTACAGACGCAGCCAAAGCGCAGCTAAAATGGCCAAAGAAGTAAGATATGCTTTTGCTTTCAGGGGATTAAAATATGAACCTGATGCTTGTGGTCATGTTTGGAAGTCCAATAATAACCTGTTTCTTGTATGGTTGTGTAGAAAGGCTTTGGGGATATTTCTGACCGTCTGAAACTCCGAGAAGATTTACAGTGCAAGAACTTTTCCTGGTACCTATCCAATGTCTACCCAGAAGCCTTTGTCCCCGATCTCTCGCCAGTCAAGTTTGGAGCTGTAAGTAGAGTATTTGTTAAAGGGATATTTCACCCCAAAATGAAAAATAACCTCAGCATTTATTCTCACTTATATTGTGCTTTTAATAGCTTGAGTTTTTTTCCTCTGTTAAACACAAAAGAAGATATTTTGAAGAATGTTTCATCATCAAAAAATGACTATGGAAAGCAATGAGTGCCAGCGAACTTACTATTTACTCACTCTCAAGTAGTTCTAAACTTTTTTTGGTGCTAAAGAAAACACTAGAAGGTAGGGTTGGGTGAAAAATCGATTAAGTCGAGTGTGAAGTTCACATCAATTTGTTTAAATGAAAATCGGTTTTCACCCTAACACGTGATGCTCTCCCCTCTGGGCTCGTGTAGTTCCCCCTGCATTGCCTCTGCTCGCTGCATGTTGTTTGTGTGTTTCTATGGCAAAGTCTCTTTAAGGCAAGTCATTTCACTTGGCGGCCCTCTTTGAAACTCCTCTCGGGCATTCTGTCTGAATGGGGAAACATCAAATTCTCCAAACTAGTTTGTCAAACTTGGTTGCATTTCATATTTGGATTCTCCGAAGAAAAAAAATTAAACCACAACCATCTCATAAGTTCCGTTTCTAAACTTGGAATCAAATAAATTCAACATATTTTCATGTTGAACAAGCTAAAGCGCATACACTCGAAAGGAACAAGTTTACTACACCAGCCTCATTTATGGCCATTTTACATAGTCATTCTTTAGCGATTGCTGATTGGCTCTTGTACTAGTAGGCGGGGCTCCATTCCCCATATTATCGTTACACTTCCCCATTCAAAACAATACAAGTGACGCGTCTTGTGTATTCTATAATTTTTGGCAGAGGAGAACTCAGAGAAATGTTGTGCTCTATGAATTGAAATTAAATATTATTAAAAAAACACAGATGCACAAACATGCCCGACATAACCCCGAAATAACTCAGTGCTCTCAGTCAAGCATTCACTGCATTCACATGCATTTGAAGCAGTGTGCCACACCTTGTATTTCTCACAGTGAGAAGTAATGGATAAGACGGTTAATGGAGAAGATGCGCATATGAAAGGAATGGTTACCGTAGCTCTATAATGTAAATATCTATGACTGATATAATGTTAGAATCCAACATTGCGGTTTCTGGATATATTATACGACCCATCGGCAAAGACATTCATTACTGTAAATATCAACACTGAGAAAAACTTGCTTAGTGCTTTAGATTTATCTAGTTGATGCAGAGACCCAACACAAATAACAGTAATAAAATGCAACCCTCTAGTCCATAGGTCTCAAAGTCAATTCCGGGAGGACTGCAGCTTTGCACAGTTTTGCTCCAACCCTGATCAAACACAGTTGATCCAACTAATCGAGGTGTTCAAAAGAGTCATAAACACCTTCATTACTTGGATCAGCTGAGTTTGAGACCTATGCTCTAGCCTAATGCAAGTCATTTATATGAACTGATATAACAAATAAAAATGAATAAACCTCTGAATGCATGTTCATTGAAAAAAAAAACAATCTTGAAAAAGGTCCCCTTTTCAACAATTATTATGAGTTTACTTTCACTGTAGTTGACTTTTTACTGTAATTGTATAAAATGGTGTAATTTATACTCTTATTTTTAAGTCTTGTTAAGTCTTATTAATAAATCTTGTTAAACTTTATCTTTTAAATGAGAGTTTTTTTTTCTTTAGCATTTTTATATCCTATAGTTGATTATAATTATGAAAAGGTTATAAAAGGTTAATAACCTTCAACTCCAATATTTGTCCCTCCACAAAAAAAGCTTGATTTAAATCATAAATAAAAAAAAATTTTTGTGAAAAAAAACAAAACAAAAATCAGCTATTATTATAAAAAAAAGGAAAAAAAAGGCAATATCGCCCAGCCATACTGGAAGGTATTTTGAAGAAAGCTAAAGGCATTTAACCATTGACTCCCATAGTAGGAAAAATAAATACTATGGAAGTCAGTGGTTACTGGTAGAGCTGCACAATTCTGGTAAAAATGAGAATCACAATTTTTTTGCTAAAAATCAAGATCAAGATTTTCTCTCAATCGTGTAGATGTAAATAAAGGTTAATATAACTAGACTATTATTATTGTTGTTTCTTTAACATGAGGTAAAACAACAATAATAGAATTAAGCTTATGTGTAGGTCTACTGTTGGTTAAAATTTTAAATTTTGTATAGACTTGGAACGGTGAACTTGAATAGACTTTAGGCTCCCAAATGATCATTTTGTGCAACAGAACGTTATTTACAACTATATTACCTGTTATTCACAGCCTATGCAGGTTCTGTTTACTAAAGTAGACAACATTAGCATGCAGACATGTGTCCTCTTGGTTGTAACCAACGAGTGTCAGCTTGCGTGTTTTTTTTTTTTTTTTTTTTTTTTTTTTTTTTTTTTTTTTTGCTGCAGCGAATACGTCATTACATTAAGACAGAAAGGACATTTTTGGGTGAATTATACCCATACAGTATGTGACACTTTTAACGCCATTTGGAGCTGTCTATGTTGCTAATATGGTTGCTGTCCATGTTGCTGTAAAGATTTGTGCGACTGCCTTTATGCTTCTTGCCTGACCTTGAAAATATAATTGGCTGAATCATAGAAAAGCTGAATTCAGATTGTGTGTAGGGTCGAATCGAGATTGTGATCTTTTTTTTGATTAATCATGCAGCCCAAGTTACTGGTTTCCAGCATTCTTCAAAATATATTCGTTCTTCAACAGATTAAAAAACTCAAATAGTGATAATGAAGTAAATGATGGCAGAATATTCCATTATGGTTGAACTATCATTTTACGAATAACCAATCTAAATCAGTCTGAAGACATTTTTCTTTTCTTATTTAACATCTCTCTTTTTTCTGTTTGTTTGTGCAGCTCAAGAATAGAGGAGCACAACAATGTCTGGATGTCGGAGAAAGTAACAATGGGGGAAAGCCTGTGATTATGTATACATGTCACAACATGGGTGGTAATCAGGTATTGTACCTTTTTTTTCTGAATTTAATTAGAGATTCTCTTATGAAAGAATCGATCGTTTTCTTGATCCAATGATCATGTGTTCATTGATGTTCATTGTGATGTTTGTTTTCAGTATTTTGAATACACGTCACATAAGGAGCTAAGGCATAACATAGGAAAGCAGCTGTGTCTGCAAGCGTCTCCTTACCCAGAGCCGGTGAAGATCGAGCTTTGTACACTGAAGGGCAAAGGCAGTAGTTTGGCTCCTGAACAAGAATGGCTGATCACAGAGGTATGTGTGCTGTCAGAATGGAAATGAATGACTCCTTTTTTTTTAGATTTTACCGTCAAAGATTGTTATCAGTATTTACTTCCTTTTTCATTTACTTTCTGTTTTGGTTTGCAGTAATTTTTATAGTGGAATTACTTAACCAAACACTGATATTGTTTCTAATAGGATATATGAACAGCTTGTGTTTCTTTCCCTACGGATAAACTTCCAGTGGACGTTTATTTTGACTTTTTTTATTTTATTTTTATTTTATTTTTTATTTTATATTGTTTCTTTTATAGCATCAATGTTATGTAATTCAAAAATAATCTGTTAAATAGACTTAAACACTCATTCAGCTTTTCAAGAGTGAAACAATATGAAAAGCTGTTTACTTGCACTCACTGTCAGCATCAGCAGGCTACTGCAGTAACTCCATTGAAAATACTTGAGTAAAATCGTAATATTTTAATGACATGGTGCAGGAAATTTATTTAATGCAATGCTGCCTGTACATTCTGAGAGCCGCGTTAAATCGTATATCAATCAGGCAGTGAAAATCACTGATTTTTAAGGAAAACGGGTGTTAAACGCAGCATTTTGTAACCGCATACAGTTCACAGGAGGCTTTTTTGGTTTAATTTAGTTACTGAAAATGAAAAGTCATATACCCTATTTATACGCCTTTTGAAATTATTATTTAAAAATGCTGCATCTTACAAATGTACACTATCAATTAAAAGCTAATGGTCAGTATGATTTAGAATTTTTTATTTTTTTTAATCTGAGTTGCATTACATTGATCAAAGTTTAAACAAAAGCAGCTCCTAATTTTTGGTTCATTAACAATTAAAGAAAATGAATCATGGTTTTTACTGAAATATTAAGATCGACTGTTTTTAACATTTGATAAATATGTACACTACCGGTCAAGTATTTTTTTTAATGTAAAACAATTGTTAAATATTTATTAAACTGTTAAATAACTGCGTACTTATTGTAATATTAATATTAACCATAATATTAATATTCAAGTGATGTCTGAAGGATCATGTGACTGAAGAAGTAACAGTTATTTTGTAGTGCAATAACATTTCACAGTTGTACAATTTGTACTGTATTTGTGATGAAATAAACACATCCTGAGCAGGAGAAGCTGATATTAAAACATTTAAAAATCATACTGACCCCAAACTTTTGACCCGTAGTTTGTTTCTTGAGCAGCAAATCATCATCTTAAAAATGATTACTTCAATGTCACACAATCCTTCAGAAATGTAATTTACTGTACTTATTTTTTTATATAATACAAATAATAGTCATGCTGACTCTTTAATTTGTTGCATCATTTTAGTCTACAACATTTTTCCTACTTTGGGCTATTGTGTACTTTTTCTATTATTGTTATTTTTACATAAATATTATTATTATTATTATTATTATACGTTTTACATATTTTCATTATTCATTATTGTGATATTATTATTATTAGTAGTAGTAGTAGTAGTAGTAGTAGTAGTAGTAAATGGTGTTTATGTAAAATAACAATAATATAAAAAGTAATGTTGTTATTAATAACAACAATAATAATAATAGTAGCAAATGTTTTTGTTGTTGTTGCTGTTGTTAATGTTGTTAATAGCAACAACAAATTTATTATGTAAATTATTATATTTACATTTTCATTATTATTATTATTTACTTTATAATGCTGTTGCTGTTGTTTTTGTTATTATTATTTACTTTTCATTATAATGTTGTTGTTGTTATTATTAATAGTATTATTATTATTATTATTATTAACTTGTAGTGTTATTATCATTATGCAGTGTTACTAATTCACTTGTATGAAATATTTATAAATTATATTAAACCTTTTTTTAATAAATTATAACGAAAGCCTATATCAGTGACATCATCGGTGGACATCAATATTTGAACAGGTTGTAGACATTAGATAACTGATAAGACGTCTATACTTTCCTCTCTCATTACTTCTAGAAAGCCTTACCCAATGTGCATTTGCATGACATCAAATGAACCACTACCATATAATAAATTCACTTTAATAGGAAAAACTTGCTTTACACTTTTTTAATCCTATGCCAAAACATTTCAGGAGCAACTCTTGAAAAATCCGTCCTCTGGAAAATGCCTCCATAAGAAGGGAGACAAGATCTTAATGAGTCCCTGCAACCCAGACGACCATCATCAGCAGTGGGCTTTCAGCTGACCTCACACTCCAGCCCGTGGAGCAAAAGACGTTGACTCTCATAAGACCCTTAAGGGAGGATCAGTCGCCATAGCTCGGGCTGACAGACTCTCTGGAGGCCTGAGCACACGCACTGGGAGAGCGTTGGATAACTCTGATCCATAAGCTCTCATAAACGTTGTGATCAGACTGAGGTCAGATGAGATGCTCAGGGAAGAACAAGTGGAGCAGAGAGCGAGACTGTTTACTTGATGCCTTTTATTGCCTTACTGATGATGTTTACTGCTGCTTTTAAATGGTGTCGGTTTTATTTATGTTTTTAAAGAGAATTCAATATTTTTGGAACAATGGTGAGTGTTAAAGCCAACGAGTGACCGGCCTTGCCAACAAAACATGTGATGTTTGTATGATTGAACTGGTTTGCGTATGCTGCATGGGATTGGGGTTTCGGTAAATCTGTCATTTAATACGGTATTTGTTTTAGGCCTTTCTCTTTTGTCTCTGACCTTGAAGCCGTCGGTGCGTTTAAAGCAGTGTCATGTGACTTGCATTACTTGATTGTGGAGGTCTTCTGGGAGAAATTGTTGTCTTTCATCTGCTTCCCGTCCACCATTATTATTCTTGATGAATTTTGAATACACAGATTTATTCTTCAAATCTGGAATAGATTTCAAATATCATGGATTTAGTACTGAAAATGCACACTGCCAGAGCTTGTGTTGGTGCTTGGTTTTTCAAAGCTTGGTTTGGTTGTTTAAAATAAAATAAATTGAATAATTATGGTTACTATATGGTTGCCACTACTGTTAGTGGATCAGTTTGCAAATTGTAATCTCCCCCACCCGAGTGTATTTATTGCAATGCAAAAAAAGAAAACGCCACTATTTTGAGCTTTGTTATATGCCTACAGTTTTCTCTTGTCTGTGTAAATAGTTCAGAGGATTGACCTGTAGTAAATGTTGACTTGTAACAACATTTTAATATTTTACTTCTAGAAAGAAAGGGATACTGAAGGACTTGACAATTGTTTGATAAAAGACTTTGCAGATCTACAACTTACTAGTGCTTGGAACTTATTATCACCATGAACAGATTAAAGGGATAGTTCGCCCAAAAGTAAAAAAACTTTTTTTTTTTTCTTCTGTTAAACAAAAAAGGAGATATTTAAAAAAAAAAATGTTGGAAACTTGTTACCATTGACTTACATCAGGGGTCACCAATCTCCTTCCTGGCGGTCCAGTGCCCTGCAGGCTTTAGCTGCAACACCTGCCTGGGTGTTTCAAGTATGCCTAGTAAGAGCTTGATTAGCTTGTTCAGGTGTGTTTGATTAGGGTTGGAGCTAAAATCTGCAGGATACCAGACCTCCAGGACCAAGTTTGGTGACCCCTGACTTACATAATATTTGTTTTTGCTAATGAGGAAATTGATGGTTTCAAGTATTCTTCAGAATATATATTGTATTCAATGGAGGAAAGCCTTTCATAGCGTTTTGGAACCACTTGAGGGTAAATAAATTAATAAAAATATATATATTTTTGGGTGAACTGTCATTCAATTCCATGTTTTTTTGTTTAAAAAGTTTATATATCTTAAATAACTGCACAACATGTACATTCAAATGAGTCCAGATGGGGTCTAAAATTCATCTTATGACAAGACAAAAATGATCTTTTAATTGGTTTTAACAAAATGGTGTAGTTATTGATGGGATTCTTATTTTTCCACTATTTTCATATTGCCATTGAGAAAATAAATGTGATTTTGCCAATGTTAAAGAATTAAATAACAGTAAATGAATAACATTAAGCTGAGTAAGATAGATTAAAAACCCATCTCTGCAAAAACAACCGAGAATTGTGGCTGATTGCAAATGATAAACTAGCGTCCTCAAGATAACAAGAAAGATTTTTGCATAACTAAAGAAATTTGGTCATTGTTCAGTTATTAAATTACATTAGCCTACATTAACAAAAAAATCATTACACAGTTTAGACACTTTTTGTTGTTAACTATAATGTTGTATAATAATTTTCATCATAAAGAACATTCTACAGTTTAATGCAGAAGAAAATGCTAATTTTTGAATGTAATATTTTCCCAATTAAATATTAGTTGAAATCAATCTAACTGTATATGTGTATGTATATATATATATATATATATATATATATATATATATATATATATATATATATATATATATATAATGTTTTTTTTTAAGATTTGTTTTTGTAGACACCATATGTTGACTAATGAAGGTATATTTATAACTATTGATTTGCTGGACTACTTTAACTATTGTCAAACCATGTTGCACACAAATGCATTCAACAGCCTTCTATGACAGTGTATTGCTGTAGAGAACAAATAAAAACAAGAGTCATTTGTTTAGAAAGAGTATACTTTATTTTGTTTGACCTGCAAACTTATCTAAATAAGATAAACTTTCAGAAAACAGCATGGAAACTATATAATGTGCGCGGCAGTGCGCGCTCATGAATATAACCTGCGGTTGTCTTCACTGTCAATCGTGTTGTTCTGAAGCGTGGTTTGCTTGACCACAGCACGCAGATAAAATAGTCCTTTGCTCAGCAACTCTACTGAAAAACAAAGCAAAACATTACAGCTACCATAGTTTCTATTTTAAATTGTAGTAAACTAAACTTTGAAACTATAGTTTTAAATAGACAATGAGTGGGCCCACTACTGGCTTCCCGTGTTTCCCTGAGGGTCCTCAGGGCTTGTATTGCTCCCTGCCTAGGGTTCACAAGCCGCCTCGCCCCAGGGAGTGCACGAGCTAACCGGGTGCCAGTCCGTGCCAGTGTTCACTGGAATGTTGCTCAGCGGCACATTTTGCGCAACAAACACATAACATTTTTCGCGATATCGCGTTTATGTAAGCAAACCGCAAGGAACTACAGCACAGACGGGCCCGAGTGTAGCTTCACGAAGCGGACTTCGTGAGATTGGCATGGCTCCACGCATACCGTCGGTATTGAACTCACCTTGGTCAAGTACAACCAGCAACACCGAGCGAATTGGCAAGACTGAGAGAGAACTGACCAGCTTTATAGGAATCCAGATGCAAATGTTTACAACGCGACTTAACTGCTGTGAGACTCGTTGTCATGGTGAGCGCTGAAACCATGAAGTCACCTCATAGTCCAATCAGCTGCTAGCATAATAAACTTTTCGAAGATTGCAAATAAGCTCAGTGTTCAAACCAAGTGTGCCGCAAGCCTATGTTTGAGTGAAGGTTTCGGCCGTTAGATCGCCCCCTGGGGGCTGGCTGCAGTACAAGTCATAAAGCCCGCCTCCTCCGTGTTAATGAAGGAGACTTGAGCCCAAATAAAAAAAAATATTACACTTGCAATAAAATGTCCCGAAAGATAGTTCTGGTCGATTAAGGCACTGGTTATTGTGCTGAAATAGGTGCAGATCTTCATTTTTGTAAACAGTTTGTTTTTAGCAGTAATTTAATGCTGGGCGTGTCATCGTGATTGACAGCTGTGATTGACAGTTTCTCAAAGCGCGGCGTTTGAGCTTCGGCAGGAGACTGAAGTAGACTGAAATGTTATTATTCGATTTCTGTGTTATTTTACCATGACAAAATGAGTTCAGCAGTAAACTATAGTTTCTGACATACATGATCCTGGTGGAACACTGTTTATTCGCTAAGTTCAGGGCATTTTTCGGGCTTTATTAGTTTGCTGATACACGCCTAGCCACCCAGATAGCAAAACACAGTTCCGGCTAGATTCTCGCCTGCCGGAGACTTATCTCTTAGAGCTCAGACTGACTAATGTTACCTCTGCTGGACCTACTCCGGATGCCTGGACTCACTGCCCGATTCCAGTCCGAGTCAATCGAGCCAGATGCGGCGGCCGAGCGAGCCGGTGCTGCCGCATGCGAGCCGGAATCAGCCCGCGACGCCGCGAGTAAGTTATGCGCTGCGGCTTGGAGCTGGCGCGATTGAATATATAAAACCCTCATATTTGTTAACGTTATTACATCCATTTGTGTTGATATGACAGCAAACGCATGCTGAGAAGTTCGGGGGGCGTAGTTGATTTTACATAAAGCGTTTGATTGGAAGCTCGACTCTGCTCATTTTCGCGGCTCCTCCTCTGGCTCCATCAGACAGTCCTTCTGCGCATGTCTGGCTCCAATTTCAGCAGTCTTTTGCGACAGTTTGTGCCCGTCAAGCAGGCGTTTTGCCCTCAAGGCGTTCAATGGGAAAAAGGGCTGTCGCGTCGTCCATATTTTTTACAGTCATTGGTTCAAACACAGTTCATTACACACACACACACACACACACACACACACACACACACACACACGTTTTTTTTTCCAACCGGTTAATCCTCACACGATAATATAACGTTTATCACTTTTAGGTCGTAAGTTAAATGCAAATGCAAGAACTGAAAAGCTAACATTAGGCGGACGACCCTGTTAAGGAAGCACCACCTTGCTACAGCTTATTATTAAAAATATGATCCATGACAACGATTTACTCTCCCAATGTATTAAATTATAATACACGCTATATATAATTTAAAAAAGACTACAAACACGTTAAAAACACATTTATATAAAGACTTAACAGACATAATAAACAATCGAAGCAGGCTGAGCCTATATTATTTTCCGCGACACCGGTGAGAAACATACAAATTAGCATTTTATACAAACAAATGTGTACATCTATACAAATGAAAATGTTGATACATATTATTTTATAAATACTATATCAAACATAAAAGAGTAATTATCAATAATATAGGTCAAAAACAAGTAACGATTAAGCTTTACTACGTCGGTCCTCCCCCGTGATATTGCTCTGAGTTGGTATCGGCCAGCTGAAGCGGGAGGCATAAATGTCCACTGCTCCCTTTTTCAAGCATTTGCCATTGACCGCAGAGATGGGCGACACAGTCATTCATAGGAACCTTGACCCAAACGAGGATTAAAGAAACAGCCTGGGACGAAAACTGCAAGTGTGCTTTTTAAACAAAGTATTAAAATTGGATAAATAAAGCCTTAAATGTGTCAAGTAAAAGTTTGCTAGACAGCAAATTGCTAGATTTTAAGTGATGTAACGGGTAATGCTGCTGCTTAAAAGTTAAGTACGATATGCTTAGTTTTTTCAAGCTTTTTAAGGCCTACATTAATGGGAATACAGCAGGCGCATTGCTAGACATAAAGCTATACTGGGGCACAGCTCCCTCTAAAAAAAAAAAAAAAATATATATATATATATATATATAGTGTATTATGTGTGTGTATGTATATATACACACACACACACACACACACACACACACACACACAGTTGAAGTCAGAATTATTAATTACATTTTTTTGTCTTTTTCAAATATTTTCTAAAATATGTTTAACAGAGCAAGGAAATTTTCAGTTTGTCTGATAATATTTTTTCTTCTGGAGAAAGTCTTATTTGTTTTATTTCGGCTAGAATAAAATTAAGTTTTTTTAAAGCTATTTTAAGGTCATTATTGTTAGCCTCTTTAAGCTATATATTTTTTTCAATAGTCTACAGAACAAACCATCATTATGCAATGACTTGCCTAATTACCCTAACTTTAACCTAATTAACCTAGTTAAGCCTTTAAATGTCACTTTAAGCTGAATAGTTGTATCTTGAAGAATATCTATTCAAATATTATGTGCTGTCATCATGGCAAAGATAAAATTTATCAGTTATGCCTATTAGAAATGAGATATTAAAATTATTATGTTTAGAAATGCATGGAAGAAATCTACTCCCC